AAGAAGGGCCCAGCTGTGGGAACAATTCCCCATGCGCAAAGGCAAACGTCAAGGTATTCGTGCCAAAAAAAACAACAAACAACAACCTAGCGCGGCGAGCGCATTCGAAAATAAAACAGCGTTAGCGAGACCGTTAGGCGGCGGAGCGGGGCCCCGAGTGAGCGCTCGCGCTTTATTTTGCCGGCAGCTATAAAATAAAAAAATAAATGAAATTGCGTTAAAAAAAAGTTGAGCGCGAGCGACGGCATTAATTCAGCCGTTTTTGTTCAATAACGCCCGATGATTCGACGGGCCAAGGGACGTGCACGCGAAGGGCCGCCACGTGAGAGAGAGACAGAGATGCCATCGCCGCGCGTTACCGTGGCGAGCGGTGGGGGGACAGCCGGAGTTGCGCTGGGAAGTCTCAACGAAAATGATCTGGTGAAATATGAATTATGTTGGTGTGGAGGAGGAGGCGGTGGTGGTGGCGGAGGTGGTGGCGGCTGTGGTGGTGGCGGTGGTTGTTGTGGCGGCGATGGTGGTGGTGGCGGAGGTGGTGGCGGCCATGGTGGTGGTGGCAGTGGTGGCGGCGATGGTGGTGGTGGCGGCGGCGATGGCCCTGGCGATGCGGCTCGCGCAGACACCGCAGCGGTGCTGGAGAGCAGAGCACCAATGGAGCATCGTTATTTAATGGCGGCGGTTTGTGAGTCACTGCCCACAAAGCACCCCATCGTGGCTTGGTCGTGACAAGCGTTCACCCGGGACGATTCAGTCCATTGTTCGAGTGAAGGTTACAATGTGAAAATGGTGGACGCCCCTGATAGCCTGCCTATTGAAGGTGAAAAAACCCCACCGAGTCCTGCCCAGCACGTCCCGTCCAGCAGCACACATGGGAAACAGAGGCGAGACTTTTCTTTGTCGAGCAATCGAACTGACGATCGCTCGAACAATCAGTAGTGCAACCGATCGCTCAAATAACTGGATACGTCGTCGCTAGACTGAATCAGCCCGGACGAGGTTCAAGGTGGGAGCAGAGGGGGCGAGGTTCAAGATGGGATCAGAGGTCAAGAGGACGGCCGCTCACCCAGAAGCGCTTCACAGCAGACCGAGCGGCGAAGTAACACTGAGAGGCAAAACAACCGCGGGGAGCCTGGGAAAAAAGTGTCCCGCTACTCTCGACCGCAACCGAGGTTACAAAAAATTAAAACATAATTTAACTCGGACGACAGCACGCCGTGAAGAATTAAACACTGCCGCTCCATGCCGGCCGGGAGGGGGGTGAAATGCCACCACGTGGGAGTCATGTGACCACGCAGCGGCGAGAGAGGAAGGCGCCCGCGGGACAAAGGCCGCTTTCATCAGACTAAATAATTAAATATCACCAAAAATTAGCGAACGGGAATTCGTGGTTCCTTCCCGGCGTTGGACCGCCCCCCTGGGACACCGAGCGTTTGCCTTGTTGCTGAGTCACTCGCGGTCACTCGCCTCCTTATCACTCTTCTATCGCTACTACCACAATAGTTACTCTTCCCGTGAACTTTGACTAGTTGTTTCCCCGCCCGGTGTACCAGATACCGACCGTTCCCGTCTCATAATCGACACCGTCTTTCAACCACCACCGCCACCATCCCACACTGCAGGTCACAACAACACGCTCATCCACCCACCCACCCATTTGCTCATCCATTCACTCATCCACCCACCCACCCATTCACTCACCTACACGTTTGCTCATCGATTCACTCATCCACCCACCCACCCATTCACTCACCCACCCACTCACATACTCATTTATGAACTCAATCACCAGACTGCAAGTCACTTCTCTTTCTCTCTCCGCTGTCTCTTCTCTCTCACCGCTCCACTTTGGAATTCCCTCCCGTCATATATTTTCGATTGAAATCTCGCGTGGAGAAAAAAGGAACGCTCTGCTCCAAGAGCAGCTTCCCAAGGCCACAAGTCCATATATCGAAACGCAGGAGTGCAGGGGTGGAGCGGTGGCAGAGTGATTAGCGCAATCAACTGTGAACCAAGCGACTTAACGCTCATTTGAGCAGGAAATCACTTTTGACGCTTTAACCTCACATCTTTTGGCAGCACCATGCGGGTTTAGGATCGCAAACACAAAGACGCCCCTGTATAGCCCTTAACGAACTGTGGGAGCAAGTGCTGTTAGCGAGTATCACGTTTGAAGGGCCACCACGGGACACGAGGTGGTAGGTGTCCAATACCACGGCCGACCACCTTTGTCTCCCCAGCGGCGATGTTTACACATCACACCAGCTACTCATTTGAGGCTGAGTCGACGAAGGGGAGGCCCAGAACCATTTCAGACAGTCGTCACCGGTGTTGACCGTGAGCGGGAATCGAACTTGGGTCGCTGGGTTTGTAGCGTACAAATCGAAAAACTAAAACTACATTTATTTGACCAGTTAAGGCCCACTGAGCTATACAGCTCTTTCTCATAAGCGACCTGGCAACAAATGATAGCGCCAATAAAGTGGCTTATCACGTGGGAATTTATAGCAGCCAAATACTCTAAACGTTGTTGATTCTAAATATGGAGGGAAAAACCGGAGGACCGGAGAAAAATCCACGCGACGACAGAGAGAACATGCAGGTTTTTTGGATGAGATCACGTAAATAAAAAGATGTCGTTATACCCGCCACCACCCGACACGGCCAATTAGTAAGGGTTGTCACGTAAACAGAACGTGCCGATTAGTGATTAGTTCAGCACTAACCTCTGTGTTGGAGAGTAAACAAACAACATTTACAATTAGAGTACCGTGAGGTGTCGTGTCGCCGGTAATTACAACAACCAGCATCACCAGGCGGAGATTCAGACATGGAGAGATCCTCCTGTTTTGATCTTAAATAGAGGGGGTAAATCTGATGTCGTCACTGTGACCCAATGAGGTGTGAAGACAAGAGGAGGGGTTAATAAAGTCAAAAAATTACAATGGATATCTATTATTAGTTGGGTTATTCGCAGGTAATCAACATACATAATGTGCATACATAATGTATGCGCATTATGTACGTACATTATGCACGTACGCTATGTTAATCTAAGAATATCCGATTATACAGGCGTCAGGGTTGGGATCGAACCCACGACCTCCTGGATACCAGGCGAGGGAGATAACATCACGTAGCCACCGTGGCGTCCCTCTGCTAACCGCTGCACTACCTCTCCCCATCGCACCCACACACACACTGACATGGGGACACAGAGGCGCACCCACACACAGGCACCCCAGGGGCACACAATCGCCGCTCTGGGCGCGGATGGCAGGAGCTCTTCTAGTGGCAGCGAGCGCTTGGCACGTGGCGCCGCCGGGGGAGGGAGCGTCCTGCCGTGCCACGAGGACCCCGACACCGTGGCCGCCCCGCGGCCTCCCCCGCGGCCCCCACCGCGGCCTGCCCTTCACTCCGCAGCAAGGCCGCCCCTAAGCCGATAATAAACTTGCCACATCGGATTTCACGGCACACAATGGCGCGCCCTTTTCCCGCTAAGCCTACCCCACCACCTTTGGAAAATCCAAAACCTGACCTTGCAGTGTATTTTACTTCTTTAGGTGGGGTGAGGGGGGGTTCTAGAGACTCGGAGCGTGATGATGGGGGTGTGAGCAGCCGCTATCGCGGGATATCTGGGCACCCCCACGACGTTCGGATGTGGAGAAGAGACCCCTGGCAACATTTTGTACCAAAAGATCCTGAAATGCTCGAGTCCGTGTTTTTTTTTTCTCCATCTGGACCGATTGTTGCCAATGCACGGCGGCCGTCACCGCACGGTCAGCGGGGCTCGGCCGCGAGCCGGGAGCAGAACGGCGGTCGGCGTCGGTTCGGTGGAGCCACAGAGCAGGGGAACGCCTCTCACCCACGATGGAGAGCAGGGAGGACTTCGCGGGTCCTTCTGTAATCTACCCAGCAGCCACCGGGAACCGCTGCCGAGTGGCTGACACCCTCAGCTTCCACGGTGAGTCTGCATCAGCTCCATAACATTGACAGGGGAGGGCATGGGGGGGTGTTTCTGTGTGTACCGTACGTCGGTGTGTGTTTGCGATGGGAAGCGGTAGTGCAGCGAGCGGTTAGACGGGCTGCCACGGTGGCTTGGAGATGTCAACTCTCTCACCTGGTATGCAGGGGGTCGTGGGTTCAACCCCGGACAATAGCTGGAGCAGAATGCGCGATAAACAAAGCGAACGATTTTATTTTTTGTCCCTGCGTGGGCAGTGGCGCGCTGACAACAAAAACACACTCGGGCGATAGCGCCCCGTGACCCTAAAAGGGAAATAGACAAAACGCACAATGGATGGCATTTCAAGCAATGGCCCCCGCACTCACGAAGGGCCATTGCTCTTCTTGTTGTTGTTGTTGTTGTCCTTTTCTCTTTCTCACCGAGAACGGCGTTATTGACGAACACGACGCACAAAAGCGGACCGTGCCGTTGCTCAGCCGCTCGGCAAACATTTAGCATTGACCGCGTCGCGCCGCCTCTTAGCTGCCGAGCGGCATCCACGTCGCACCCTTGCTTGTGCAAGGAAGGGTGCGGGCCACACGACCGGGCTGCGTTGGGTGTGGCCGGTACCCCCGGGTCACATACCCCCCCCCCACTCCCGTGTGTGTGTGGCGGGATTTGGTGTGTGGGTCACAAGGTGTCGCCGGTTGAGATGTGTGTCTGGGTGTGGCCGGGGCAGATTTGGCCAGGCCCTGTGGGTCTGGGAGTGGCAGTCTGGGTGTGGCCCCCCCATATCTCTGTATGTGTGCCGGATGGGTGTGGCCGGGCCCGCATGTCTGGGTATGGCCTGGGTGGGTGCGGGCCAGCAGGTGTCGCCGGTTGGATGTGTGTCTGGGTGTGGCCGGGGCAGATGTGGCCAGGCCCCGTGCGTCTGGGTGAACGGGTGTGGCCGGGGGCCCCCCGCGTGCCTGGGTGTGGCCGGGCGCGGGTAGTGGCCGCCCCGTGTCCTCTGGGTGCGGCCAACTCGGGCGGGCGTGGTGTCGCGAGCCTCTCTCACCTTGCCGGCGAAGTTCTCGCCCGGGCCGGACAGCATCACGATGGTGCCCACGTTTTGCTCCCACACCATCTGCCAGAAGTCGGCGAAGGCGGGGCGCGCGGGTCCCTGCGTGGCGATGTACGCTCGCGGGCGGTTAAATCCCTGCCGCAGAGTGTGGAGGGCGAGGGTCACACACTCTCAGCTCGCGTACAGCTAACCGCGCTCCACGCATTGTGTGTGTGTGCCCGCGCGTCTTATGCAACGCGGCGTCCGTTCGTGCGTGAGTGCGTCGTACATCGACGTAGTTGGCGCAGATGAGCTCCGAGCTTTTGCCGTCGCGGCCTGGCGGGGTGCGTAGACGCACGCGTGTGTGGTCATCTGCGACACACAAAGAGAGAGACAAAGAAACCACATGTATCCAATGCCCTCTAGCGAGCACTGATGGCCACCTTTGTCTCCCCAGTGGCGATATTGATGCATCACACCAGCTTCTCATTTTGAAGCTGATTCGACCTAGGGGAGGCCCAGCACTGCATCAGAAAAATATCAGTGGTGATGGCAGCGGCCGAGAATTGAACTGACGTCGCTGGACTAGAAGCGCGGTACACTAACCATGAAACGACCGCCCCCCACGATAGACACACAAAGATCCCCCGTAAAACCTTATCATAGTTTTGGGGCAAGTGATGTAAGCGTTGCCCACGGGCAGGAGCGAAGCACACTCCTAAATGCTGCCCCGAGTCCTGCCAGTATTGCCTGCGCCCTGCCAGCTTGCTGTCCACTTATCTCAACGCATCTGTCGTTGTCAATAATGATCATTGAACAACGAGCTTGTGAATCTGATATTTGTGTCAATCTCACAGCAGCGTAGGGCTCGGTCACCAAGAGGGAAGGCCCTGCTGCATTTTGCAAGTCTGCGGTTGTTTACCTGCGCAGAATCCCAGTGGGATGAAGTCTGCGGGTCGTTTGGACCATGACGCCGGCACACGATGGCCGGCTCATTTCGGATGGCGTCAAGGAGGATCTGGAATGTCCGCCGTGAAGCAAGCGGCGCGCAGTACTTTGCGGTTCGTACACCCACATTAGTAACCACGGCGGCCTGCCATGAGCGGCAAACGTGCTACCGCTGTGCTCACTCACCACCCTGAATCATCAATCGTCCATTGTCGTCGTCGTCATCATCGTCGTCATCATCGTCATAGGCCGTTGTCTCATCCTTATTTACTCCGGAGCTTCTCTCTGCTCGAACGAGCATTGGAAGTGATGGTCCTGAGTCGGTGCTGAAAATTCCACATTCCGATGTCGGTGACCAGAATTTGCCCCGCAAACACTAAGAGTATATCATCATCAGCCATGATCAATGCACTGCCTCTCCACGCTTGTCTCCATTATTCACGGTCCAGCACCGGTTCCATCAATCTTACTTGCTTGCATCTGATTGGAACACAGTCTTGTTTTCAGGATGGTCCTGCTACATTGTTATGTTTGACGAATTCCATGACTGAGAGTTTTGCTTCGTGTGTTGGAGCAAAGTGGAGAACCTGGAGAAAATCCATCGCCCAAACGAAGGGGATAACCACGCAGATGGTTGTGAGAATCCACTGCCGCACTGCCAACTGTCGGATTTCCACCCCGCATCCGCGAGACTGCTCCGTGATTAACAGCCGCAGCTAAAATGTACGGCGATAAAAGCCGCACGCGGAGTGATATTCCGCGCTATTTATTGTGTGCGATCAGTGGAGCGGAGCGCTCGTTAATGCGATTAAACTCAGCGCACGCTCGCTCACGTGCGTGGGCGCGCTCGGATTTACATGGCAGCCGAGCCACCCATGTGGGTTGACGCGCGGCGCTCGCGTGAGGGGGGACTCCGTTCCGGTCCTCGCCCTCCGCCGTGGTCGCGCGCTGCGCGGGAATGGCACGGCCGGGTTTGGCGAGGATGCATCTTCTTCAAGGATGCATCTTTTCCGCGGCCTTGAACGACCCAACCCCCCCCCCCCCCCCGTGGGTGCGCTGTCGCTAGCTGCGAGGTCGGGGGACTCTCTGTACATTTTGCGTTGGTGTCGCGGGCAGAATTGTAAAAGATTTATTTTGCAATCACTCGGCCCCCCAGCTCACCCGCCCCTGTCCCCCCGCCCCCCCCGCCCCCATGCACAGCTCGACCGAGCTGGGAAGGATCTTTTGCAAATAAATAACTCCCTCCGCAAGCGCTGGCCAAACGGTGCAGGGGCCGTCGACAGAAACCACAGAGGAGGGGCCGGAAGGGACCAATTTGTATCCCGGGGACCCTTTCTCACACAAAACAGGGCACCCCACAATGAATCTGAAAGCTGTCCAGAGTCTTCAGGAATCTCTGGAAGGCCCTCGACCTTGAGCCTGTGCGGTGGGGTCGCTCCTTCTTCTCCTCTGCTGCTCAATGGTTTGCAACAACCGTCACCCAGCCATCTGTGCTGTCTCCTGGCCCCTGTTCAGGTCCAGGCTCAAGAGTTTCCTATGCACCTCTCCCTACTCTTCTCCATGCACCACAGTGGAGAACACGGGAAGATTGTCATCTTCTCCACCACCACCACCATCATTTGTTTTAATTGTTATATAGGTACATATACAGTGCTACTGTCAGTTCACTGCTGGATGAGGACATCCCCCATGCCACCTGGGCTGTGGGGCCGAGTTGACCATACTTCACAGTGCAGGATAAAAACGTGATATGGCTGCACGGCGATGATGATGATGATGGCAAAGACGATGATGATGCTGCTACTGCTGATGATACTGATGCCGTTCGATGATGTTGTTATCGCTGCTGCTGCTGATGATGATGATGATGATTTTATAGAGTGCTATTGCGTCAGATCTATCCCACGTGCCAGGCACCCGTGGCGCTGCTCCCAAGACGCCCTTGGGGAAGTGAGGGAGAGTGGCAGAGCTCACAGGCGGCCATGTTGCTGATGTAGCGAGGTTTTTGTTTCCCGTCGTCGGTGGGGATCCCGAAGTCCAGAGTGCTGCGCTCGATCTCCTGCAGCGCACGGCAACACGGGCACACGCGTACAGCAACAGCAGCCGCTAAGCAACGCAAAGACACGGAGACACAACGGATCCAGACACACAAACAACGCAAGAGTAGCCGCCCTTCGCCACTAAGTGGCGCCGACATCACCACGGCGCTTGTGCCATGCTAGGTGCAGTGTTAGGCCGTCACGTGAAGTGTGGACGGCTCGCTGTTGGCAGGTGAAGGGACAGACCCAGGTGCCATGGGATGACCGACTTGGATGATTGGTAGATGCACCCCGTGTGCTCCCCACTGTGCTACGTCGCTATGTTTTATCCACTCACTGCTGTGAGGTCACTCCTCTGCCCTCCGTTCTTTCGGGAGGGCGACTGCGTGCAATTGGCCAGGAGCGTCAAAGGGCACCCGTGCTTGGCACTTCCCAGGAGCGTCCTTCAACGAGTCTCCTCCACAAAGGCCGATCTTGACATCACTGGGACCAGTCATCAGCAAGTCCACTCAGCTCCACATCCCACTGTACCACATCAGCCCATCTCGTCTCTAACCCGTGCAATGGCCCCCCTCCTCTATCCGGCATGGGCATGCGGTAGATGGGCATGAAGGCTACGCGACCCAGCCAACGCAGCCTCGCTTGCCGGAGGAGCTCACTGATGGGACTGTGTCCAGATCTCTCCCACGCGCGCACACACGTACACACTGGCAAGTGTATAATTTTCAAATGCAGAATTGCATGCGCCAGATAAAAAAAATGCACATGCTTTACGATCGAACAATGTTTCCTTAGGAAAAAAAATATGGAGAATAACAAAAACCTCGAATTCAGATGCAAATCCTGATCCACTGGCTTGGAGATCTGCCACGTGTTTTGGAAACTGCTTGACTGGGATTCCATCCACCTCTTCTGAGGGAGAGACAGACGGAGAGGGATCAGGGAGGGCGATGGGGGGGGGAGCGAGTGGCAGGGGAGGGAGCAGAGTGGAGAGGGAGCACAGACAGAGGCGGAGAGAAAGCAGAGAAGAGAAAAAGCAGAGAGTAGAGAGCATAGAGAGAGGGTGAGAGAGAGGAGAGAGCAAAGAGAGAGGGAGCAGAGAGAAGAGGGAGCACAAAGAGAGGGGGGAGAGTAGAGAGGAGAGGGAACAACAGAGACGGGGAGAGCAGAGAGGAGAGCACAGAGAGAGGGTGAGAGAGCAGAGAGGAGAGGGAGCAGAGAGGATGAATAGCGTGGCTGTGCGTGTGTGCGCATGTGCGTGTGCATCCGTGTGTGTCTATGTGCGTTTGTGTGCGTGTGTGCGTGTGTGTGGTGTACCTGGGAAGGGGAGAAAGGGCAGGGAGGATGGGGGAACGACGCGGGGGGAGTTGATGTCGTCGATGTAGAGGTGAGCCGTCTGGAAACACTTCCTGCCGGCACACAAAGACAAAGACACCCCGTGTAGACATTTGGACCGATGGGGCAAGTATTGTTCGCGAGTAGCACCTATTGAGACGCGTGCCGCGATCGAAGGGGGGCGGTGTGACCGGCACCACGCCCGGCCGCCTGTGTCTCCCCAGTGGTGACGGTTACACACTGTACCAGGCGCTCAACCTAGGGGAGGCCCGGGATTGGTGACCAGAATTTAAACTCATCAACACACACCAGCGACGAAACTCAAGAACGCGCACGCACACACACACACATGCACGCGCGCGCATCTCCCGTGGACATGCCGCACGTACCTCAGTGGCATATGCTCATAATGGCAACGACGTTAATGTGTCTCATCAGCACAGCGCAGCTGTTAGTCATTGAGCGGAGAGAGAATCGCGTGAAGCCGTGAGAGGCCAGGAGGCACTCGCTGGCACACCGGATTAGACGTAACATGCATACACACACACACATAGACAAAGATCCCCCTTGTAGCCTCTCACAGGCTGTTGGGGCAAGTGCTGCTAGCGCACCGGGTATTCATTTAAGGCTGAGGTTGACCGAGCAGAGGCGCACGACAGATTCAGATGTTCGCCACCCCCCGTACAAAACACACACACGTGCACACACATTAACGCACAGGCGCGCGCGCACATGTGCACCCAAACACCGCACACAAAAGGTAAATAGCCCCCCATCAGCCTTAACAGACTGTTGGGGCAAGTGCTGTTAGCGAGCACCTATGAAGACCGGCACGGCACATGACGGGGTGGGTGGCCAGCAACACGCTCGGCCGCCTTTGTCTCCCTAGTGGCGATGTTTACACACCGCACCAGGTACTCATTTTGAGGCTGAGTCGACCTAGGGGAGGCAAAGGACCGATTCAGATAATCGTCACTGGTGTTGGCCAGGAGCGGAAATTGACGCCGGATTTGCAGCGCAGCGCGCTAATCGCTACACTACACCGCCCCCCATAAAAGCGAGGAGAAACATCAACAACGCAGCGCACGGGGAGCGCGAACCACAAGGGGACCGCTCTGCTGCTGCTGCTGCTGCCAGAGTGAAGGGAATTGAGCCGAAGGAGGTTAATGGTGGTGGTGAGAGGGCATGAGCGGGAAGGAAAATCGCGACGACGCTGGAACGCTGTTCAGCGAGCTTCGTTCGTGCGGACGGACGAAGCGGGCGGTGCGGAGGAAGAGCGCCGTGCATCAGAGCCGTCGCCGGACGGGCCACCGCCGGACCCGACGCAAGCCACGCGCGTAGCGGCGGGAGCGCTCGCGGAGGCCTTGGAGGCCGCCGCCCTCTCGGCAATCGCGGCAAGGTGCGCCCCATCGCCCTGTGTCCCCGCCAGGAGCGCGACGCCGGTAGTGGGGCCCATTTCTCCCTGTCACGCCTCCCCCCCCCCGCCCCCCCCCCCCCCCCGATGTATTTCCCACCGTCGCTTGCAGGACAACACCGCAAATCGGAAACAAATTGGCGGTCGTTAGGCGTAATTGCCCTAATTAAGCCGCCATCTGCAAATAGAAGGGGAGTGTAAATCCGCGCAGTGCCGCCGGCCCTGGCGCCGTCCTCCAGGAGCGCCCCTCAAGGTCCAGGACGTCACTTGCCCGCGTCGCTCCGGGGGGAACGGTAGAGTGGGAAACGGGCAGTAGGCCGTCCTGCCGCCAGCTCCCTGCCCTTGCCCTGGGGGGCGGTCGCCCAGTCTCTGACCCCGAGGAGGGGCATTGTTTATAATCGACGATGGCCCCGACTCACGGTGACCTCTCCCAGCTTCAGTGCCGCTAAGCCAGGACCGCGGCTCGACGGGAGAGTGAGTGGCTCACAATGAGAAGGTCGTGAGGTCAGATCCGGATCGGGTGGTTGAATCGGCCCATCTTCACTGTGAAATGAGTACCACTTTGTGGGGAAAGTGGTCGTACGATGGATAGATTGCCCCTCACCCACCCATCATAAGAATGGGGGAATTTCAACCGCTGACTCTGCAGGACAGGATGTAAGAGGGCTGCTGCCATGCTGGGACAATCGGTTGTGAATTGCACGAGGGGTGAGAGTTTGGCTTCACGTGGGGATTAGGAAGAATCCGGAGAACCCGGGGAAAACCCAGCACCGCGCTGCTGTTGCACGCGAGCGGGTGATGACACACGACAGTGCCACTTCCTGGCCACTCCTCGCACTCCCCGCAACACCTGGCAAGCCCTGGTGGTGTTGATAGTAGTCGGCCGTCCAAGTACCAGCCAGGCTCAACCCCTTGCTCGTCCCTCCGAAAAAAGAAAAAAAAACCTGTTGTGACCGTGCGGGCGCGTTCAGCGCAGGCGCCTCGTGGGGGCGGCGCTGCCGGTAATCTGCGAGAAGGGTAATGAGGTAAGGCGGGAAGGGGGCGGGAGGGGGCACCCTCCGCCCCCCCGCCTCCCGCCCGTGACCTCGCAGCTCCCGCCGCCGCCTAATTCGGCCCCCCCCCCCCTTCGCACCGCGCGCCCAGAACCGCCGGCTCATCGCTTCTGCGAGCTCCTCGCGGAGAGCAGGTGGTGCCGATCTGCAGAATGACATTTCCCGGGTGATTGATTTCGGGGTTCATTCCCGCCCGGGACGAATAGAGAAAGAATAGGCGGGGATGGGGGGGGGGAAGGGAGAACAAAGAGGGGGAGGTGCTGCTGTGAAGCTGGGAGGGTGCAAGTCCGGCCGCGTTGGCAGAAACGATGCGCCACGGTGGCGAGATGTTAACTACCTCGCCTGGTATACAGAAGGTTGTGGGTTGGAGTTTGCGGTATCTCTCTCTTTGTGTTCGCGCGGATTTTTTTTCCAGATTCTCTGGTTTTCCCCTCCACGTTTAGAATCTACGTCATGCGTTTAGAGAGTATTTGGCTGCTGTAAATTTCCACGTGATGATAAGCCAATTGGGTTGAGCTACCATTTGTGATAGCCAGGTCGCTTCTTGAAAAATTGTTATATAGCTCAGTGGGGCCATACCTGGTAAAATAAAAAATAGTTTTATTAGTTTTTTTTTCATCATGACGACCGCCCCCCGTTGGGTCTTCCAGACTCGACGGCTCGATCACTCTCGGGTAGCGGATTAGCGCTGATTCAGCGCTGGTTTCGAGGTGTTTTGCCGATCGGGGGTGGGGGGGGGAGCGGAGCAGTGCCACCGCCGTATCGAGGCACCACTTAAATGCCGCTCCTTCAGTGCGCGTAATAACGCCGTTCGATAATTGCGCGTTATCATTGGCGCCGTAGTTCCCGTAGTGCGGGGGGCGATCATCGTGAAAGAAGCCGCCGCTCTGCGCCGCAGACACTGTCCGTCTTAGGGGGCAATGTTGTTGCCGGCACACACAACACGCTGCCTCTTTTCGATTGATGTTACGGAATCATTCACATCCACTGTGAAGCAGACGACGCGTAGTAGTCTGTGGTTAAAGCACCCACAGTAATGACCAGGGTGGCCAGCCGGATTCCTCGTGCCGATGGGTTCACGTGACCTCTGCGGTCACGACCTCGGACTCGCTGACTCCGCCGACCTACCCAGCAGGCAAACTTTTTTTTTTGTATCCCCCTAGCTGCCGCGTAACAACCGTCAGAGCTAATCGTGCCATTGCACAGCATTCTAAAACGACACGATCCTAGAGCCACACGATCGTAGACACGACAATACGCTCAGATGAAATGTCCGCTGTATTAACATCGGCGCACGGTGGCAGGGTTTGAGCGAATCGCGCGCCTGCTGCCCAGATCGGCTGGCGGCCGCTGCAGTCGCGATGGCGTTCGCTGCAAAAGAGAATGGATTCCTGGACCACGTCGTGGTTCTGGGACGCACAAAACATCACCTGGTCGGGCGGAGTGAAACCGTTAACCCCCCGGGAGATTCATCTCTCACTGGGTACTCTACCGGGTCGCTGTAATACCGGAACAGGTGGCACGTTACTCGTGGCCAGCGTGAGAGGTATTGTGGATGTGGTGTGCCGGGTGCGGAATTACTGTCTGGGTCATTGGTAGACTGGAGCAGGTGGCACGCTACTAATGGCCAATGCGAGAGGTATTCTGGATGTGGTGTGCCGATGTGTGGATCTACTGTCTGGGTTGCTGGACGGCTTGTTTTACTCCCCCCACCCACTCACTCACAAAGCCGCTTCTTCTTCTTCTTCTTCGGCGTGGAGCCCCCCTCCGCCAGTCTCGGCTCGTCTCGACGCTCCCATTAAAGCTCTCTCGCGCAGCAATCAACGTGGGCAACGCCGGTAGGGCTGAACATGGAATCGATTTCAAATCTAAATGGCAATTTGAAACAATGCGATTATCAAATCGCAAAGGCTGCCAGTTTTTGCGATTTGAAAAGTCCTATTACTTTCTTCTTGGAATTGTTTTATTTTTTATTAGTATAACTTTCTTTATTTAACTTAATTGTTCTATGTTTGATTGGTCTATTTGAATTAAAACATGTTCATGAATACATGTTGGAAGCAATTAACATCTTGCATTAGAATATATTGTGCAGTTCATATTTTGATGGTATCATATGGAAATGCTCCATCACATGTTTTAAATCTATTAATACAGTGAATATTGAACCTTAGCTTGATTTAAAAAAATGTAATCGCAAATAAAATCGCAATATCTGTCAGAAAAATTGCAATTAGATATTTTCCCCAAATCGTTCAGCCCTAAACGCCGGCAGCTCCAGTCGGCAAGAACCAGCAGCGTGTGAGCGCCGCTTAATAACGTGCGCATCATCGTTCACTTTTTTGTGCATTTGATAAGGTGCGACGTTCATTGTACGAATGCGGACCGTGTAAGTTACAGATTTGCAGTCGGTATAGACGCTATGCGTGTGTACACGCTGTGTGTACACGCGTTAGTACGCATGTTGGCTGTGTGTACGTGTCAGTACGCGTGTTGGCTGTGTGTGTGTATCAGTATGCGTGTTGGCTGTGTGTGTGTTGCACAGGAGATGTTCCATCCCAAGGGATTGTCCACGTGAAATATTTGAATGGACAGACAAACGTCTCCACGTGGCCCTTGCTGCGGCGCTGAAGCCGAGCAACAACGCTGCCCACACGGCCACCACGGCCCCCACGGTCCTCACGGCAGAGATTTCCCGCTTCGGAAATGAGGGCATCGGCGCCGCCACTGCCAACCGCTCCGGCGCACCGGAACGACGTGGTGTCACCGCTCCCCCACCACCCCTCCAGAAAACTACACGCCTGACATTTTTATTTCCATTCTGTGCTCCCCACCGCCCTCCCCCGGAGGGGGGGGGGGGCAGCTCGGCTTGATGCCCCCCCCCCCCCCCTGCAGTGGGGGGCGTGAGAAAGTCTGGGAGGATTTGTTATAAAAACATCGTCAATGGATTTAATTCACATTTTGAATCGGCAGGGCATTATCCTTTTCCAAATTCACCACCGTTCACATCACTCGCCTCTGCATACACCAACCCAAAATGTTTTAGTGAAAGTCACAGTCTTGAGACTCAGTGAGGTTTTTCCTGAGTAAACAAGCGGAGTAGTAAACAAAAACCCAAAAAATATCATCCACAAACTCACTGCGGGGGGTCTGGGCGGACACGGTTGCGCAGCACTCTCGAGTGTACAGGCGGTGCAACTGCACCGCTGGCCCAGGGGGACGAGGAGGGCCCAGGCAATGGTGAGATGGCCCATAACTGTATGTACTGAAAAAGCTACTATCAATGAAGACATCGTCATCCACGGGACAGGATTAGTTACCTGCATTTGCACGTGTGGCTGTGGCAGGTCCCAATTATTAACCCCTCACACAAATTGTCAACCGTGTGATAACACCTCGTCAACAAATATTAAAATAACAAAGGGTGTTCCCTCAAGGTTTCATGCTAGGTCCAAATCTGTTATTATATTTAAACAATCTTGGACTAAAGTTGAATCACTCAGAATTAAATCTCTTTGCGAATGACACTGTCATGCTAGTATCCGGTACATCTCCCAAGTCAAACCGAATCTCCAACAGGATTTCAAACTAATTCCACATCGATTGCCATCACTACAATTGCTCCTTAATCGCCCACAAAATAAGACCATGCTCTTTTCTCAAAACAAAAATCGAGTTTCAATCTCTTCACCTATTACGGATATCAGCAACAATATCATTAAAAAACGGAGTGCTTCAAATGCTTGGGTTTTACTGATTGATTAAAAACTTACATTCCAACCCCATATTGATCACATCTCAAAGAAAATCAAATAAAAAAAATAGTGTTTTATACAGAAACAAACATTGTCTTCTCAATCGATTGCACCTGCAAATTGTTGAAGCTATCACTCTACCACAGTTTGACTACTGTGACGCTGCTCACAGATCTGCTACTAACGAATCACTGAACTATCGTTCTGTTATTCGATCTGCACTGGATGTACCATACAGGCCTCACCATTGTGACCTCTACTTAAAATCCAATCACATATCAATAGATGCGAGATGAAACCTACATTGGGCCCTGTTCACACAATCCCAGTTGATGAATCTGTGCTAGGCTTTGCTCATTCATTAACCAAATTGTCAAACCCCAACAAATCGAAGGCGTCCATCTAATTGCCTTTAAACTTATCCCAAGAACGTTGAGGGACAAGCTGGTTTCCTCCCTCAACATCATATTCTGAAGCAGAAGATTAGTCCTGGATACAACCACATTTGCTAAGGTAACTTTGATCCTTACCCACATACCGATAGTTTTATTTTTATAGTGCAATGTCATTGTGGGGACTCTTGTGTGTTGTCTTGTGTGTTGTCTTGGTGTGGTCTCGGACTGTTTTTGTTTTGCTGCCTTGCCCAAGATTGCATTTGGTGTTGAAACAGGAATTAATGTACTTATGCAACTAGCATTTAATGAATTATCGATTTATTTATTTTATTTCGTCACTTCCTCAGACTTCCTATTCTGTGCACTCCCATCGTTTTTTGTTATTATTCGTTGTTGTAGCTTTCTAATCCACCCCTACAGGACATGAGTGAAAAAAGAGCTTCTTATCTCATCGAATTCTTCCAGTCTAAAGAAAGATTCTGATTCTAAACATTCTGAATTGGGAGGGGTAGTTATAGCAGGCCCCCCCAGCCCAACTCCCTCCTTGTGGCCCCCCCCCACCAAAAAAATAAATCTGGGGGCATCTGGCGGGCAAGGGGGGAGGACGCAGGGCTCCCTGTTTTATTGTGGGGGGAAGGAGGCGTTGCTCACTCGTCACGCCGGGCAAACACGGGGCAATAAAACTAGCAAAGAAATTGCACTTCACAGTGTGATCTATGTGGGGAATATTAACAACGCAAATAAGTGATCTCTTAACCTTTAGATTGCGGGAGCCAGCCCGCATCCCTTGGCGCAGCCTCAATTGAGGTGCGAGAAGGGACGAAGGAGGAGGAGGAGGAATGAAAAAGCGGCACCGCGGACATCCATGCGAGGAATCGCCCTTTCCGTGGAAGTACGTGGCGAACCCCCGGCGTGTCCTCACCACGCACACTCCCTGTTTGTTTTACTCACGCAATGATGGTTGTCGCTCCACGCACACACGTGTGCGCGGGCGAGTGCGTGCGTGTGCCTGCCACACACGGCGAGAAAAAAAAGGACCGCTCGCCCGGTGCCAGGAATGAAGATTGGCCACTCTCCCCATTGCCTGGGCCCTCCTCGTCCCCCTGGGCCAGCGGTACAGTTGCACTGCCTGTACACTCGAGAGGGCTGCGCAACCGTGACTGGCCTCTGTGTCCGCCCAGTTTACTCAGGAAAAACCTCACTGAGTCTCAATACTGTTTTTCAAGAGGGTCCTGCCAAGTTGTGTGTTGATCCTAATTGAGTCATTAGCAGGTAATTTTTCAGTAATGGGGTGTTTTGGCTAATAGCAGTTATTCAGTGGTTGTGTTTTGCTATGGGAGGAAACCAGAGAACCTAGAGGAATTCCATGCGGAACAGGGGGAGAACATGCAAACATCACTCACACACACTCACACTCACTAACACATCACTCACACACACTCACACTCACTAACACATCACTCACACACACTCACCAACACACAGACAGAGATCCCCCGTATAGCCTTAACAGACTGTTGGGGCAAGTGCTGTTAGCGAGCACCTATGAAGGCCGCCATGGCACACGAGGGGGTGGGTGGCCAGCACTACGGCCGACCGCATTAGTCTCCCCAGTGGCAATGTTTAGACAACACACCAGGTACTAAGGGAGGCCCAGGACTGGCTCAGATAATCATCACCGGTGCTGGTCGTGAGCGGAATTCGAACACGGGCCGCCGGATTCGTAGCGCAGCGCGCTCACCGCTGCACTACCGCTCCCCCACACCATCGCACACACATCACTCTGCAGAACAGGGGGAGAACACACAAACTCCGCACAGAAAGAGTGGCTGCCCAAGATGGGAATCGAACCCAGGCAACCGCGCCCGCCGGCACGAGCTCAACGCTGAGCTCCGCGTGCCAGGTGTGTGGGGGGGGGGTGCCGAGGGAGCGGATGCACCTCCAGTAGATGAGCAGAGCGATGAGGAGGATGACGCAGAGGCAGGTGAGCGACGACACCACAGCGAGGGGCAGCCGCCAGTCGGTGACGTCGCTCCCCGTCTGCCGGTCGCGCGTCTGCTGCTCCGTGCCGTCTGCGGGAACACGGCGAGTGCGGCACGGTCAGCTCTCGGAACACCTCCCGCCGCCCATTTTCCACCAGCACACCCGAGCCGTGCCGACGCGGCGGGGCTCCCTCGCGGTTACGAGTACTTTGCCGAGCCGAGCCAGAACCAAGAAGACGTCTGAATCTGGCTCAGAGCCAAGCCGAGCTAGCGCCGGTATTCACCATTCTGGAAGCACTTTTGCATCGGTGGTCAGTATACGCGGGGAAGCGTCCCCGATGTGCGCGACATCGGCGGCAGTTTTCGGGTTCTGCGGCGGAGGAATAAAACAACTCGGCACCTCCTGAGCAAGGCGAAGCTGGGCTGGTTCGGCGTGGCCCCACTGTGGCTCAGCTGTGCGGTGGAAAAAGCGGTATCCGTGTCACCTCCTGCACTGCGCGGTGTCCCTCGATTGCCGCATCGTCGCCCCCCCCCCACCCCCACGCTCTCCCTCTTGACAAAACCATCAGAGCCAGCTTCAACGTCAACCATCATGACACAGCCCTACTCTATGCCGCCTCCATGAGACCCGACCTCTCTGTCCAACTCGGTGCGGCTCGCTGAAGGTGCGGAGCGTAGACGTGGAAGCACGCAAGCACGGCGCGACGGAGCGTTGCGCAGCGCTGTTTTTGAGGGCAGTGGTGAGGTCAGGCGGTAATGCATAGAGGTTCGCGATTCGAATCTCCAGCGGCTGCCCTGGTTAATACCGTGGCTGTAACAACTATGGTAATACGAGTCATTGTGTGCCGGGGTCAGGGTCTAAATTTGCCGAATTCCAAAAATCACCCCGCACAATGATTCAAATTGAGATTCTACACACGGCATTAATCATTGTCCCCCTACTGGCAGACCAATTCTCCAGGGTTACTCTTGCAAATGAGTGACCCCACCACCAACCCTTTCCCCCCAAGCCCTGTGATGACAACGACGTGTCAGAATCAGAATGTTTATTTACGCGAGAAGAATCCGATGAGCTATGAAGCTCTTTTTCATGGATGCCCAGTGTGGCGGCCGCACGTCCGGGTGTTATCCAGCCTCGACACCTGCTTAGCGCCCGAGACCGACCGCAGTTCACGGTTGTTCGATCATATGTATGTGTGTACGTTATCAGAGTCGGGGGTACAGCTGGTGCATCTGCCAGCCATCTCAGTCAGTCAATCCATGGAACCTGGGTCTGTCCCGGGACCTCCCATCAGCGAGCCTTCAACACTTCACGAGGCCTCAAAGTGCACCTGGCCTGGCACAGGCACCCTGGTGACGTCACCATCACTTAGTGGTGAAAGGCGGGTATTGGTGTACCTTCTTTTGCACCTTATGTAGCCAACAATAGGGGGGGATGGACAACAAACTAAATAGAAATTATTTTTTTTAAGAAGTTAGTTTTCAATTTACATTAAAAAGTGCATAGGTCCAATGGCTTCCTAATATCAGAAAGAAGAGCATTCCAGACGGCCACAGAAGCGCACCTGAAAACGTCACGCGATGCATGCGACCGTCTTTGCTCGACGGTCAGCCAAAAGCCAGTGCTGCTGCGAGAATGACCGGGACTTTGCGTGACGGTTAATGCTCCCATTGTGGTGCACTTGCGGAAAGCACTTTGCGTGTAACGAGCGCGACATCGTAAACAATGTCACTGTGATGACGGTCACGTGCCACTCGATTCACTTTGGCGGCATAAACCATCACGGGGCACCATGACACTGTGCGGTCGTCGAGTGCTGGTGGTGATTGTTGTTGTTTTCTGGCCTTTTTTAAGGTAAATCTATAATTTGCTTTCCAGATGGTGCCATCGCAAGATTATGAGGGCTCCCCCCTATGTATATATATAAACTATAAAAATGTATATTCAGGTTGATGATGTTTAACACACAGGTCATTGCAGAAAATATTAAGATTCATAGTTGATTATTGGGCGAGACCTAAACGACTGACAAAACTTGTCACCGCTACCATTAAAATAAATTTAACGTTGCCGATTGCGTATAACTTTTTTTATTTGTGTCGAGTTTTGTCGTCGTCATTGCTGGCTGCGCTGGTGCACCACTGCCAATGCAGCAGCACCTCCATCACCACTGGCGAACGATTTGGCCAAAATGATGTCGTTAAAACCCTCCACCACCCGACACCTATATTCTTTGGGTCTTTCGGTAAAGTCACGTAGATAGGAAAAAATAATACAATTATCACGACGTTTCGATCGCAACACGAGCAATCGTCATCAGGTGAAAAAATATAGCGGGAGAGCTGCCGAGGCCGGAGAAAATACAGCGGGAGAGCTGCTGAAGCACGAAGTTATATAGGCTCAGCCCAAGGGTAAGTGGGCGGGGCTAGAGAGGGAATTTGCATGTCAATGTAAGATCGGTGAAGTACCTCCACGACACTGACGCAGCTGTGGAGGTGGCCATTGTATTGTGACAGATTAGCATGTCAATGTAAATGCTGTGCTAGTGAGGCATCCAGCTCGTTCAAAAAAAAGAGGGACAACACCACATTGAGGAAAAGGAGCAACGGTGGCTGTGTTAGTGAGACATTTAGCGTGTATGTAACTCAGAGAGACGGAAATAACCGCTAGCATCGGCAGGTAGGACGGAAACATCACAGCCAGTTATGACTTAAACTGGTTGATCACGTCCTTCCAGTGATTTCTCAGTTTGTATCCATCTTCTCGCTTGAAATTGTGTCTGTGTCTATATATCTGGATGGCTCCATGAACGAATCTTTGTTGATAGCCAGTGGGCTTGCAGAGTACCTTCGTCTTGGAAAAATCTATTTCGTGTGTGCCCACGGCATTGAAACAATGATCAGCCACCGCTGAGGTATTGGTCCTACCGTGTTTCAGATCTGCCTTGTGTTCATGAACTCGTTCCGAGACATGTTGCTTAGTTTTCCCAATGTAACTGCTGCTGCAACCACAGCTTATTTTGTAGACACCGGGGTATTGCATGTCAGGGATCACATCCTTCACAGATGGGATCAGATCACGAATATTATGTACTGTGTTGAATCGAACCTGGATCTTGTGTTTGCTCATGGTTTTGGAAATCTTGTTGGTAACACCTGCTATGTATGACAAGGTGATGGTTTTGATTGGGTTTTCAGATGGTTCTTTCCCAACAGTTGCAGGTGATGGCTTTACAGATTGTATAGTACGAATATCCATTCATCTTGAGGGCTTGGTGTACGTGCTCCAGTTCACTGGCTAGGTGGTGATGGTCGGAAATACATCGAGCTCTATGGTGTAGAGTTTTAATGAGGGAATTCTTCTGGGATGGATGGTGGTGGGAGTCAGGTTTAAGGTAGGCATCTGTATGGGTGGCTTTCCTGTAGACAGTGTCCCATTGAGCCATCTGGTAACTTGCCATCCTTTTCCACCTCGATGGTGAATTTGATGGCTGGGTGTATGGAATTGATGTGGTTGAAAAATTGGCTCAGCGCTGGTTGGCCATGTGGCCAGATGACGAACGTGTCATCTATGTACCTCTTCCACAAGGAGGGATGTAGGGTGGATGCCTGGATGGCATCTGTCTCAAAATTTTCCAAGAAAACATTGGCTACAACTGGAGATGAGGGAGAACCCATTGGGGTACCTTCAACTTGTTTGTAGAATGTTCCATTCCAGGTGAAGTAAGTGTTGGTGAGGCAGTGTCTAACCAGGGCCAGTACATGAACATTTAGTCCTTGTTGGACCAAATCTTAAATGATTGCAATGGTGTCAAGCACAGGGACTTTGGTAAACAAAGAGACTACATCGAAACTGACAAGAAAATCACCTGGAGATAGGGAGAAGTCCTTAATTAGCGATACCAAGTGAGCTGAGTTGAGTACAGCTGAGGTGGTCTTACCAGTGATTGTTTGTAAGATCTCTAACAAAAATCGGGCCAGTTTGTAGGTGGGTGAGTCAATGGTGGAGACGATAGGTCGGAGTGGTGTACCTTCTTTATGGATTTTTGGTGAGCCATAAAATCTGGGCGGTCAAGCTGCAGAGGGTTATAAGGAAAGCCGCTTGGTTGGTTCGATTAAAGATGTCGAATCAGTGATGATACTGTTGGTTTTCGTACCAGGCGGTTTGTGGGATCTCTATTGATGTTGGTATAGCTACCATCATTAAGTAGGTCCTGAATTTTGTTATTGTAAGTGGTTTTGTCCATGACAGTGGTATTACCCTTGTCGGCTGAGAGGATGACTATGGCATCTCTCTTTTTTAGTTGAGAAAACTCAAAGCGCTCATCCTTGCTGATGTTGCTAATGGGTGTCTTAGCATTTTGGAGGATTACAGTGATTTCCGATCTTGCTACGTCTGCAGGAATGTGTCCCAAACCCTTAAGGGCTACGTCGACCTGACACTTGTTAAGGAATCAAGGTCAGGTGACACGGCTATTCTGACGTCCTGCGTCTCGTCCTGGCGACGTCCGACGCAGTTTCATGCGAAACGCCGCCGCGTATCTAATCGATAGGTTCCCCTTGCGAGGATCGGTGGCGAGCGAGCCGACACGAGAACAATCGGCGCCCCGGTTGCAGCTCGCGACAATCTCACTCAGTGCGTTACAACGGTTAAAGCGTCACTCCACCGTAACGCAATTACGTCCCCTACGGCAAGCTGCGGCGTTCAACCTGCGTGTCACCGGTGCGGTACCGGAACCCTCAAGTCGGCGCCAAACACCTTGGCTGCCCGTGCCGTCACAAATCTCCCCCCCGACCCACCCGCCGCAACGCTGCAACTCTCCGGGAAGTCCTGCGAATCGAGGAAAACGGTCGCCTTCACATTCATCGGGACTTTAATAACGCTTGAAGTCACACAAGTCCTTTTGGACCCGTGCGCTTAGCCTTCAACAATGTAAGTTGAACGCCAATGGAGCTTGAAAAGCTGAATTGAGTTCAAAAGAACTCACGAACAAACATCTTGTTGTGAACGACCCAAAGCTCACGGTCCATCCTAAACCGCATCCACTGCACAAACCATAGCAGTAGATGCGGATACCTGAAGTACAAAT